CTCGAGAGCTTCGTCACTGACTACACTGAACATCGCGGTCGCATTCCATACTGTGTGATTCTTCAGTGTCTTGCGGCCAGATACTTAGGAGCTGGCAAACTTGATCCAGAATTCGCAAACAAGGAATTGCCCTATCGTTCATCACTACAAATTTCTGGATGTCTTGGAACTTGGGAATCTGGCGTAGGTCTCTTGGGAATCTGGCGTCGGTTTCGTTCCAGTCAATGCCCACTACCAGAGAAACTTCAGAAGTTTGAACCACGTGTGGACTATGAGATCGATCGTGGCCATAAGAAGATAGGAGACAAGCCACAGTTCAACAACTACTTTATCAACGTTGTCAAGAATCTCGGAGCACATGTATTCATGTATTACGACTCAAAGCCTCTATTCTTACAGGTCTTTGCTTGAAGAGGAGCAATTCACAACGTGTTTCAGCGATTACCATGACCTTCTGGTTGCTGCCCGCGCGGGAAAGAACGGATATGTTCGACAAATTGCTAGCTACAAAATGAAAGGGCCTGATAACCCCACAAGTCAATTTCATCCAAAAATCAGAAAAAGTGGTTGAAGCAGCGCGGAAAAAGCAGAAAGGACAATGGAGATGGTGGAGGATCAATAATTTTAAAAGTTGTATGTGAAGGGTGGTGTGACAAAGTTGTGTGTGGAAGATTGCCTGTGACAAAGTTGTGTGTGAAAGAGTTGTGTGTGACACAGTTGTGTGTGAAAGATTGTATATGACAAAAAGTTGTATGTGACAAAGTCTTTGGTGTGACAAAGTAGTTGTGTGAAAGATTGTCTGGTACAAAGTTGTGTGTGAAAGAGTTGTGTGTGACAAAGTTGTGTGTGTGTGTCAAACTTGTGTGTGTGACAACGATGTGAGGGCGAAGTTGCATGTGGGAGAGACGTGTGTGAAAGATTGTTTGTGACCAAGTTGTGGGTGAGGGAGATGTGTGCAAAAGAGGTTGTGTGCGAAAGAGTTGTGTGTGACAAAGTTGTGTGCGATAATGATAAAGTGCATGTGAGAGAGATATGTGTGAAAGATTGTGCGTGACAAAGTTGTGTGTGACAAAGTCGTATTTGAAAGAGATGGATTCACTTGCAGCGTGGATGTCACCAAGCGCCACGCCTGCCATTCAAATGCGAGGTCCATGTTGCCAAGTGCCACGCCTGCCACACAAAGTGACGGTCGATATTGCCAAGTGCCACGCATGCCACGCAAAGTGAAGGTCGATGTCACCAAGTGCCGCCCCTGCCACGCAAAGTGAAGGTCGATGTCGCCAAGTGCCACACCTGCCACGCAAAGTGGAGGTCGATGTCGCCAAGTGCCATGGCTGCCACGCAAACAGCCGTGGCGACAACGGCGTCCACTCGGAACCAAGCGCACCGCCAGAGCCCGCCCAGTACCGTAAGTGCCATGCCTGCCACGCAGAATGCACGTCGATGTCACACCTGCCACGCAAAGTGAAGGCCGGTGTCGCCAAGTGCCACGCCCACGCAAACAAGCGACAACGGCGCCCACTGGGAACCAAGCGCGCCACCAGAGCCAGCCCAATGCCGTAAGTGCCGCCCACTGGGAACCAAGCGCGCCACCAGAGCCAGCCCAGCGCCGTAAGTGCCACGCCTGGCACGCAGAATGCACGTCGATGTCGCCAAGTGCCACGCTTGCCACGCAAAGTGACGGTCGATGTCGCCAAGTGCCACGCCTGCCAGGCAAACAGCCGCGGCGACAACGGCACCCACTGGGAACCAAGCACGCCACCAGAGCCAGCCCAGTGCCGTAAGTGCCGCGCCTGCCACGCAAACAGCCGCGGCGACAACGGCGTCCACTGGGAACCAAGCGCGCCACCAGAGCCAACCCAGTGCCGTAAGTGCCACGCCTGCCACGCAAACAGCCGCGGCGACAACGGCCATAAGTGCCACGTCTGCCACGCACAGTGAAGGTCCATGTCGCCAATTTGTGTGTGAGTAAGTTGTGTGTGTGTGTGTGAGTAGGTTGTGTGTGTGTGTCTGGACAAGTTGTGTGTGTGTGTGTGTGAGTATGTTGTGTGTGAGTAAGTTGTGTGTGTGTGTGAGTAAGTTGTGTGAGTAAGTTGTGTGTGGACACAGTGTGTGTGGACAAGTTGTGTGTGTGTGAGTAAGTCGTGTGTGGACAAGTTGTGTGTGGGCAAGTTGCGTGTGAGTAAGTTGTGTGAGAGTAAGTTGTGTGTGTGTGAGTAAGTTGTGTGTGGACAAGTTGTGTGAGGACAAGTTGTGTGTGGACAAGTTGTGTGAGGACAAGTTGTGTGAGGACAAGTTGTGTGTGAGTAAGTTGTGTGTGGGCAAGTTGTGTGTGAGTAAGTTGTGTGTGTGAGTAAGTTGTGTGTGGACAAGTTGAGTGTGGACAACTTGTGTGTGAGTAAGTTGTGTGTGAGTAAGTTGTGTGTGAGTTAAGTTGTGTGGGCGGGCAGGCGGCGGGCGGGGCGGGAGGAGGCAGACGTGAGTGCACAACCAAAAACAAGAACCCCACACAAAGATGTGGGGAAAAATGAGGAAGACACACGTGCCAGATACGTATCATGGCCTATCTTTGAAATTTTGTAGGGTGCAGCTTTGAATCGAGACACCCAGCAGGAAGAGGACCTCACGCGAGAAAGGCTGTCCATGCGTCGTGTCTGTGTATGTGCGTGTTCGTTTATCATGTTGGACAGGAAAACATTTCCAAGGCGCAAGGTATCTGTGGTGAAATTCTTGCATGTATGTCCTGGGAGTGCATCCGTTTTCAAGTTGACGTGATAGCAGGCAACGGAAACAAAGCTTGCTCCACTCAGTCGAGGCTAAAGAACAATGGAAAGGCTGCACCTGTGCGTGTGAAGCATGTCATTTCTTGCTCCTACAAGGATCTCGTGCTTTTGCAACAGAAATTTCGCGGCATCAAAACAGAGACGTATATATAGAGGAGTTAGCTAAGAAGACTGAGGGATATGGCGACTGTTGCGTGATGTCAATATTCGAGTGGGGGCATGCAAGGTTAGAGATATAGAGGAGCACCTTGAAGATTTTTCTGATCAAAGCCATATGGATCATGTTGGAGAGTTCCACTTTTTCAGTGAACGAAACGTGCCTCTCATGTCACCACAAAATTTTATGGTTGCACCGTTCGATGCTGACGCACACATTCCACTTCTTGTTCATTTGAAGCCTTCTGACATGGGATGGAAGGAGAAACATTCCTATGTACCTCCAGCAAAGAAGATACAATGCAAGGAAAGGAGGAAGGACATTCAGAAGCAGAGCAAGCGCAAGGGTTTTGGTGATGGAGGCCCTTAATTGGATTTGTCATTCGTCGTCGTCAAAGCAATGGAGACAAAAGAAAAGATGAGTGTATACTTCTAGAAGGAGAAGATAACACAAGATGATTTTGCTCTGTACAGTTTTTCTGAGAGCTGATCTGGTTTTGAACAAAATGGTATTTACCCTTGCAACAAGGAGAAAATACCATTGCTGCGTACAGAGTTTCGTCTTTTTCAGTGCTGATATATGATCTTTAACAGAAAGATAATATCACATTTGTCCCCAAATATTTTCCACTGAGCAGATCAATTTTGCTGAGAACGTCAATTTTGCTGAGAACGAGCTTTTTACCAACTTCAAACTCTGTCCATTGTTCACTTGAATGGGTGGCTTTGGAGACCCGAATTTTCATCCGTGTGTTTCGTGTTTTGGGCACTTGTTTTTCGTCTGACCTGAAATTCTGAATCTTGCATCCAGTAGACACCTTTCACCGATACTAGTAGAGCATTGTGCCATGATCGACCGTATACATTGCACACCATTGTCGAAAATTAATTCGAAAGCAGGTGTTTTTACTTCGACATGTCCTTACAGGACATTTTGTCGCCGATGGTTTCGTTCGCGCTCCGTCATTTTTTGTAAAAGAAATACACGGCGCACTCTCCGCTATTTTTGCTGATTAGCCAACGTGTCATCTAGTTTACATGCTAGAACTCTTACTCTCAATTGGGTACGACAAAGCGTAGTGCTCAACTCATTGCCTTTGGATTTGTGCCTGTGTTTTTGTTTTGGGCCGAACCCTACCAGGGTATAAAGCATGAGTACTGGGCACAATTTACATACGCTGTCAAGGCTCAAGAAAAAGATACGTATATAAATAAATAAATAAATAAATAAATAAATATATATATATAGGTAAAGCTTGTACACTAGGCGCAGCACTGACTGGCTATTGGCCGACAGATAAAAACTAGTGCTTGCAGCCTGGGAAGACGCTCTATAGCTGATCCTATCAGGACGCTGTTGCCCCCCCCTCCCCTCCCCTCTCCCCCTCCCTCTACCCTTACTTCCCCTAACTACTACTACCACTACCACCACCACCACCACTACTACTACTCCTCCCACTACCACTACTACGCCGGCTGCTATGACTCTTACTCCTACTACCGCTACTCCTGCTTCTTCCCTCTCCTTCATGTCCTCTCTGCTACGTCTTTCTCCGCTTTCCCCGCGCGCGCATCAAGCTCTGTCCCTTGCCGCAACTTTTCTCCGCTCCCGCCATGTTTTCGTCAAGGCAACGGTCTGCGGTTGCGCCGAAGGCTCATACTATATAAATATCAAGCGGGCGACTTATGGCTCATATATACTACCTGTCTGCCACCAAGCCCAAAGCTCACTCTCTCTTCACCCAGGTACTAAATTCCAAGTCATGCGAAATGCAAGCGTATACCCAAGTCCAAAAGATCCCCAGTGACGCATGCTACTTGGCTATCGCCGGCGGGCTTGCCACAGGCAAGTAAATATATCTCCAAGCGGGCCTGATGTTTTGCTGCTAGGGGATGTACTGTGTTCGACAAACTGCTTGCTTCTCGTTTACCTCTGGTTGTCTCCCAGCTTCTTTCTGAGCGTCATTTTCATACAAATTTTGCTGTTATCGGCTTTGAGCAAAAAAAGAAACAACGCATATCCCAGGAAAAGGAGGAAACCAATCTCGGAAACCAAGGATCTCGAGATCATCTCCTTCTACTTCTTCTTTGTTTGGTTCCTTCAATGGCCAAAACGCTGCTTCCTTGTCTTTGTCAGGGAGATATCTGCTGTCTCTTCTGTCCATGTGCAGTGATATCAAGAAGAACAGAGCGAGGAGCAACAGCAAAGAAAAGGTCACCAGCGAAGGACCTTGCCAGAGCCATTCAGTCTTGAACAAATTCCTTAGCTGCTCCGGGAAAACTGTTCTTGATCAAACATAGACATGGAAAATCTGCAACCTCTTCGTCGGATCTGCCAATCATCAATATCAATCAACCCCTTTTGTTTTGATTGATCAGAACCACGGCATAGACACAACTTTAACTACGTTAAAGTGGTCTAAGCTATGAGGTGGACATGAGATCTTCTCGTGCAAACCCGTGTGTGCCCCTGGCACAACCTGAGTGAAAGCTTGCACACTGCCATTTTGCCGATGTCAGCTTGTGAGCTTGGGCTAGCTCCCGCTGGCAACGCCTTTGATATTATATTACAATATTAAATTATATAAATATTCTACAACTATATGTTATATGTACACATAATATAGCTCTATATATATATATACACACATTGATCATATACTTTGCGGGGGTGTGGGTGGCCCCATGCTTTTCGTTCTTCCCTACCAAAGAGATGTATAAATGCTGGAACTGAACTGTGGCGCCTTATGGCGCATTGGAAGCTAAACACTTTGATCAATGTATCTTGGTTCAGGTGGGGGAAAAATGTTGCACCGGAGAACGGGGGAACGAAAGCCAGGTGTTAGTATATAGGGAGGTCGGCGAGGCGAGATCCCCGGCTGCAGTGATTCACGTAATTTCCCACCCATCTTTTCGGAGGGGCAAATCTTCCACAATGGGTGCTTCTCAGAAAACCAGCGGGCCCAAATCGTCCCCTGAAACACTTTCGCCAAGGAATTTTAATCAACAAAGGCGCAACTCATTCCCCTTCTCCTCCTTCTCCTCCTTCTCCTACTTCTCCTTTTTGTCTTCATCTGCCTTTGCAGAGAGAATGCCAGACAGAATGCCAGATAGAATTGCCAAACAAGTTGTCAGAATATATGTCAGATAGAACGCCAGAAAGAATGCGAGATAGATTGCCAAATAGAATGTCAGAATAGATGCCAGATAGAATGCCAGAATGAATGCCTGAAAAAATGCCAGATAGAATGCCAGAATCGATTCGAGATAGAATGCCAGCCAGAATGAATGCCTGAAAAGATGCCAGATAGAATGCCAGAAAAGATGCCAGAAGGAATGTCAATGCCAAATAGAGTGCAAGTAATGACAGAGAATGAATATATGCCAGAAAGTATGTCAGAATAGATGTCAGAAAGAGTGCAAGAAAGAATGCCAGATAGAATGTCAGAAAATATGCTAGATAAAATGCCAGGTAGAATGTCAGAGTATATGCAAGAAGGAATGTCAGAACATCTGCCAGAATTCCAGTTAGTGGGGATCACTCGAAGTAAGTAATTCTTCGTGGTGGGCGGCATCATATATAGTTTTATATTGAAGGATATTGAAGGCTACCCCATGATGAGTTCTGCGGCCTTGCATCTGAATGAGGCGCGCAACGAAGCGTGGGGGATGAATAAGTGTGGACCCAACAAGGCTTGAAAGGGTAGATGCCTCAGGACCGGGGGTGGAATGTCATGAGCAAAGTACTGGAAGTTGGAGGGTTAAAGGAATTATGCATACCATATGCACATCAAACGTGGATGATTCTATACTATTGCTGATGATTTTCTGCTGTTGGTTGATCAGTTTGCCTATTTGAAGTGGATGATTCCCTGTTGCTGATTGTGGGCCATGTGGGCACCTTTGTTGGGCGAATGCTAGGCAGTATCTGGGCAATGTTGGGCCTTCTTGGTGGTATCCTTCGTAACTGCCGCGGAGTTGTCACAATTCGGATGTGCATTTTGATATCATTTGATGACGGCTTAAAGGGCTGAAATGCCCGCAGAACTTGGGGGGAATGTGGACCAAAATTATGGCATACCTTTCGAACTTGGGATAAACTTGGGGCCGTGTTGGGTCTACGTTGGGACTATGCTTGGGCAAATGTTGGACGTGTTGAAATCCGAAGCCTTCTTAAGTGCTGCGGAGTTGTCATGACGACGGTTCAAGGGCTGAAATGCACATGAAACTGGGGGTGAACGTGGGGTAAGTTTATGTGGCATACTTAAGGCGAACTTGGGACAACTTGGACCATCTTGGGTGCATGTTGGGTCTATGTTAGGGCTGTACAGTCTGTTTGTGAAACATGTGGGCGCCTTTGTTGGGCGATATTAGGTCTTCTTGGTGGTATTTTGGGGGTCGTGATAGGTCACTGAAACCTAATTCACATAGATCTGGAATAACTACAATGCTTTCCGAGCACCGAAAGATGATTGCTGGGTCGCTTGGGAGAGGGTCTCCTCAGTAGTGTCCTTTTGAAGTTGGTATAAGTATATATAAGTTGCAGTTGGTGTCAGCATGGTGATTTCGTCCTTCCACGTTTACATGAAATCAATATGTCGATATGATGTTTATCCAAGTGTCGTAGATGTATTCAGTCTAGAATTTCTACAGTGTGATACGGTGCAAGGGTTTTGTTGGAACGGACTCCCGCATAGAAAGTCATGGTTCTTTGGCTTAACCATTTAAAATCAAGATGCAGCCCACGAACCCGAATGCAGTCATGCAGAACAATTTTGTGAAACAAGTTGTTTGAACAGTCTTGTACATTTTCCCCCTCTTACCGTACCATCGCGCTCTGGACTGGAATGTGGAATGGAGTAGAGTGCAAAGTGCGGAGTGTGAAGAAAAAGAGTGTTGAGTGGGGCATGTAGCGTGTGGAGTGTAAAGTGGGGATTGTGGGGTGTGGAATGTAAATGTGAAATGTATGGCGTAAAGTGTAGAGTGTGGAGTGTAAAGTGTAAAGTGTAATGTGTAAAGTGCAGAGTGTAAAGTGTGGAGTGTGGAGTGTCACATGTAGAGTGTGGAGTGCAAAGTGTAAAGTGCAGAGTGTCCCAAATAATGCTGCGCCTGTCACGCAAAATGACATTCTACACTCAACAGGTCTGCGCTATCCCCCTGCCACGCAAAATGGCACTTTCACGATGTTCCACGCCTGCCACGCAATTTGCACGTTGTCACCACTTCACACAGCCCTGACAATGCGATTCACCAAAGACACGCAGCACGACTCGTCTAAAATGCTGCACCTGCCACGCAAAATGAAGATGGACACGTTCAACATTCTGCGCCAGCCACGAAAGATGCAACTCATCTTCTGAAAACGATGTAAAAGTATTGCACCTGTCACAGAAAACGACTTTCGACACCATTTGCAGACATGTGAGAATGTCACGACGGGCCACACCTGCCACGCAAAACGACATTAGAACCTGCTTGGAAACATTGGAAAAGGACAGGTTTTGCAGCTTCCCGCATCGACATGGCGACGCCACAAGAAAACCAGAGAATCGAGACGAGACATGCTGGAGCCTCAAAGCTAACAGTTCGTGCGAGACTTCCTCAACTTTTCACACTTTGTAGCTTCAAAATCGCCGTTTCCCCACGAATTTTCTCATGAACTTCAAAATTTGCTATAATATACCTCAAAATCGATGTTTCGTGCGACGCCCCGGTCAATTTTCAGCACATCTCAGGCCTGCCACGGAATTTGCACGTTGTCACCACTTCACGCAGCCCTGCAAATGCGATTCGCAAAAGACACGGAACAGCACACGTCGAAAGTGCCGTTGGAGGTGTCCAAAGTGCTGCGCCTGCCACGAAAAATGCAACTCATCTTCTGAAAACGACGCAAAAGTATTGCGCCTGTCACAGAAAACGACTTTCGACGCGTTATGAAACACATGTTGAAATGTCACAAAGTGCCACGCCTGCCACGCGAAACGAGGCGACACGACGTCTGAAACCTCCAAAAGTGACCAGTTTTGTAGCACTCCCCATAGGCACGGCCATACGGCCCTCACGCGGATACTTGCGGATACTTGCGGACGGTTGCGGACGGTTGCGACACGTCTATAGCGAACACACCCTCAACCCCAAACCCCCAGAGTGAAACAGGAACCCTTGCAACGCATTCGGGAAAAAATCACATCTCATTAGCTTGAAATGAAATAGTCTATGCCATATCTATTAATTGCTTGAGCCTCCCCTGATGTGGCTGTTTTGAGGGGGCATTATGGAGCATTGCCAGGAAACCATGGGTTGTATTATGTTGTATTATGTATTAATTATTACGTCAAATAATTAAGCTGTATTTCCAAGCGTTTCCAAATTTAGGGGGTTCCTACGGTTGCAGATTTTCGCGTCGACCCGGCGCATTGCCAGGTCTTCGGCTTTCCTGAGAACTGACCTCGCGCTCGAACTGTGTGTATGTGACTTGCTGCAGGTGCCGACGAAATAAATCGGAGCATGCATAGTTGGTTTATGTATTTATTATGTTTATACATTCAACCTGGGTGGTGAGTATTCATCTATATTATACCGCATTTATACCTGGGTTTATTTATCGAATCTGTACCTTGATTGTTTTGCTTTCTTTTTTAAATTGCTTGATTGATGCTAGGTAGAATTTGGGTTAACGGTTTATCTTGACCTGAGAGATGCCAGAAGCCAAGACACGGTTCCCTTCTGTGCACCTCCTTAACCACTAGACCTTTCCCCTCTGTTGTCACCATCGGGGTTTCTCATCCTCCACCCCTGCTGCCTACAAGCAGCTTCCGTCTTACACGGGTATTTTCCTACTAGGCTTTTTTCTTCCCTATTATCACCATCGGAATCTTTCTTACGCTTGCCATGTGTATCTTCCCACTAAATCTTCTATCTCTGTTCCAGCCATCTGGTCTTTTCCCAACCCCAATTTATGGACCAGGGGGAAATCGAACCCCGCCATACCCCACCGTCACTTAATTGGTATGTGGTACATGCGCCCTTAAACCTGAAGCAAAAAAGACACAACCTAATTACGTAGGTTTGTGCCACTTTTGCCCGCTCTGCCCCATGTGGGCCCCCTAAACTCGCTTCGCTCGCAGTAGGAACTTCAGCCAGGCCTACCGGCTGGCTTTCGTAAAAAGGACAGCTTGTGAAAATCTTGTGGCACAGGGTGTATCCGAACTGGATCGCTTGCGGGAGGCTCAGCACAGTTAATCTGGGGCGAAAGTAACAGTATGAAATCACAATCTGGAAACACCTACATTAATCATCATTTTACATGGAGCGGAGCTTGCCAGATCTTGCGCAAAGCAGCTGCTTGCGTGAGGTCTGTTGGAAGGTCACACACGGGCGGTTCAGTTCTATTCTATCTGACAAAGAAGGGATTGCACTGAATACAGCAGGTAACATACCCTTTTTTCTTGCCATCACGCAAATGCTGACTAGTATCCACAAGTTTGGACACGGGATCATTCGGAATCCCATTTTCGTGTTTGAGACAATTTGGGTATATTTTGGTCAATTGTTGAGAGTCCTGTCTGTCTTTCAAGTCTTTCGCAAAGGTCTTTCCAAGTAACAAAAACTTGACGTCCTCTAGAGGTCCTTTACAGTGGTCATGTCAGACCTGTCAGCCCACATTGATCGCGCCAGCGCCCAAGGCTCAGAAGTCCGTCAGCGGAGAAGACCACGAACGCAGTGCTACAGCGAAGTACTTGCGCCATGTCCCCCACCAACACTTCGAAGACACCACCGAAGATGGATAGATGTGTGGTGGAACACAAAACCTGCAGGGAGTCAATACTGGTCACCGTTAAAGGTTAGTTCATTTAAGGTGTTAAAGTCCAACTAAATAGTGTTTTGAAGGGTCCGAATGGGGTCTTGTAAATCATGCAGGCTGGAACCTCCAATCAAATTCTTGATCTGAGTATGTCTGTCCGACCACCCTATACTGCAAACGCGCCCATGTGTAAAGTCTCAACACAATTATGAAGTACTACAGCGAATTACAGCGAAGTCATTAATTACTGCGTTTTGTTTTGCCGCACACCATGTCAGCTGGTCAAGCATGCACAAACCATCACAAGGAGGGCCTTCCCAGGCGTGGTACTTGGCAAGGTGCTGACGCCCTCAGTGGACCAAATTGCCAGTTCCTCGTCCCAAAATGCACAGGTCGGCACATCAGTCGTGTCCTTAGCTCCGCCGCTCTGTGGTGCTTGGTCCACATTGCCCTTATCTGAGGTCATGTTGATCCCGTGTTCTTCACGGCATGAAAGACGGATGATGCTGGTGGTAATATATAATATGTAATAATGAGGAGCGGTAGGGTTAAAGTCATGATACTGCGGATGACAATCACTGCAATCACGTAGTGATACTGAGTGGTTTTGATACTCGGGTATATATCGGGTATATATATATATCATCTATGTGTAAATGTATAATATATATATAAAGGACTCAGTCACTCTTTTCTTTCGTGCTGAACCTGAGAGTTTTCTGTTTGATCTGGCTTTGCCTGCCATTTCTCCACTCAAATTATGAATTCTTCCATCTCAAGGTCAAGTGGCATGACCTTTGAATTTCACAAAGTTATAAAACAGAGTTAGGTGGCATCCCAAGTGGCATGAGATCCCCTAACTCAAGACCGCTCTGTTTCCGCTCAACTGACATGAAGGCTTCAGAGACGGCTCTGCATTTGGGCTTGGGCGCTTGGGTGTGGGGGGCCCAATTCTGAGCCTAAAGCCCACGCATCACAAAGACAAGAAACTTCGTCCTACTCCCCCTCCTTTTACCGTAGTGCAGAAAAAACTAAATATTTTTTTTCTTCCACGTTAACTAAAGTGACAATTCAGAGGTTTACTTCCATGTTAGTTGCAATGGGGGGGTAAACTGCAAATTTGTGTTCTTTGGATCTGAGCCCTTTTTTTTTTTGGCTAGTTCTTTTTGCCACGAGTTCCCCGGGAATCCTGGGCATTTGTTGATTAACGTAGATTTTTTTTTTTCAAGATAAAGCGGGGAATCCCTCCATTTTTTAACAACCAACGATTGGAACGGATAACTTACATAGAAATTTGCTACTTGAAGCAGGATGTGGGCAGTGCCATGTTAGCGAGCGCTCGGTCCTCCTTTTACCGTAGTGCAAAAAAAAATCCACGTTAACTAAAGTGACAATTCGGAGGTTTACTTCCAGGTTAGTTGCAATGGGGGGGGTAAACTGCAAATTTGTGTTCTTTGGATCTGAGCCCTTTTTTTTTTGGCTAGTTCTTTTTGCCACGAGTTCCCCGGGAATCCTGGGCATTTGTTGATTAACGTAGAAATTTTGTTTTTTTCAAGATAAAGCTGGGAATGCCTCCATTTTTTAACAACCAACGATTGGAACGGATAACTTACATAGAAATTTGCTACTTGAAGTAGGATGTGGGAAGTGCCATGTTAGCGAGCACCAATTTGGCACCATTGATTTCGAAAGGTTGCATCCTCAATCGCTCGGACATGACAGGGGTGAGAAGATAGATGCAAAGAAGAAAAAAATGATGTGGCGGTCAGTCTGGGGGTTTTAGGGATCGCCCTAGAAGGATGTATTCAACATGAGGGGAGAACATGTTAACATAGAAGTTGCCAACCTGATGTCTGGACCCTCAAGTTACTTCCACATAAGGGTTTTAAGTCTCAGTTTTCACACTTCCATGATGAATATGTTACTGACATATCTGATGAGCTACTTCCATGTAAGAGATTCACGGTCAGTTTTTCTGCATTTGCTGGCCCGGTAGCCCAGTCTCACTTTTTCCCCAGGAATTGGACGTAAACGACTTCCATGTAAACCGACAAGTTTTTCCATCCTGACTTCCACGGTAAAAGGACCCGGTGTAATTGTCGCCCCGACTGCTAAGGACTCAGTCACTCTTTTCTTTCGTGCTGAACCTGAGAGTTTTCTGTTTGATCTGGCTTTGCCTGCCATTTCTCCACTCAAATTATGAATTCTTCCATCTCAAGGTCAAGTGGCATGACCTTTGAATTTCACAAAGTTATAAAACAGAGTTAGGTGGCATCCCAAGTGGCATGAGATCCCCTAACTCGAGACCGCTCTGTTTCCGTTCAACTGGCATGAACGCTTCAGAGACAGCTCTGCATTTGGGCTTACCACGGCCCCATACTATGAAGCCTATGGCCTGAAGGCTGTTTTTGGGCATTGCGACGCGTAGCTATCTAGGCGCTGCTTTTCCAGCGGACTCATCCGTAACTGCGGAGTTTGCCCAGGCCGTCCTCTAAATAGAGGCGTGCAACTCCTAGAGATTTCCAACGTCCTCGGACAAGTATAACGTCGAGGGGTACTCCTTGTTGCAAGAGCCATGTGGCTCCTCCTCGCCCTAAGGAGTAGGGCTTCATGTTGAGATGGCTAATGCGGAAAAATCGCATATAAGCTTTGAGTCGATTCCGAAAGGATTGGCTTGAGTGAGGCCAGAGCCGTTGCCCTCGAAATTGACATTCAACCAATGTCAGGGGCAAAAGGTCTAAAACCAGCGGATCTCTAATAGAAACTGCCTCCTCACTCCCTGTTCTAAGGCCGCTTTTGCTACTATAAAGGCTGCAAACGCCGACCTCATCACCTAATTCCAGAGCTTTAAATTGAAGGGCTAACGCCTCACCTGTGCGTAGCAGCATGCAATGAAATGATAAAGCTATTAGGGCTGCAAAGGCCAGCTCATCAAGTTCCAGGGCTCTGGCAATGACCGCACAGACAATTGGCACTGTCAGCAGTGCCGCCTTCTTTCTGGGGCGATTCAACTCTCCGCCAAGATTTAAAAAGTTTCCATGATTGCCTGAGTCTGCCTTTGTACTCAAGGCAAAACCTGTGGAGCCCTGACAAGCAGTCTGCTATATTGTTAACGGTTTCGCCTTTGCACCATTGAAGTTCTATCCAGTCCATCACAATTTCATCAATAAAAGCTAGGCTCTCTTGCTCTTCCAGAAAAGGGAGGATCAAGGCGACAGCGGCTTCATATCGGGCTCGTGTTTTAGCCGTTATTGAAGTTTTTCAGTCTAATGCCAGCTCTCTGTTTGTCGTTCCTTTCGAGTCTTTGCAGCAAGTATCAACTTAGGCAAGGTCCGCGGCATCAATCACGCGACGCCGCATCGGTGGATTTTCACTTGAGCCGACATGAGAATGCAGCAGGATGGAGCCCATTGCAAGTTGCACAGCTCCTATCTGCTGGCACAATGGTTGTAATAACTTACTAGATGTCCGCCCCTTGCTAAGTAAGTATGTATAGACTCACCATGCTATCTTCAAGGTGCAACCATCGCTTATTGACTTTGGAACAGTCTCGACACTTCCAAAGCAGCGTTAATAAAATCATGTTCATCTCCAAAAAGTTTATATGTGACTCATGATTCCACTTTACTTCGAAGAGGTGTTTCCATTGCCACCACAGAGCCCGAGATGATGCGTGTGATGGTATACCCCTTCTTGATTCCCTTTGTTGGATGGTGTGTCCGCCTTCTCGAGGGTCTTGTCTCCCCTTGTCTCCAATGGTATACCCCTTCTTGATTCCCTTTGTTGGATGGTGTGTCCGCCTTCCCGAGGGTCTTGTCTCCCCTTGTCTCCCATTGTACCCCTTCTTGTTTCCCCTTGTTGGATGGTGTGTCCGCCTTCCGGAGCATCTTGTCTCCCCTTCTCTCCACATTATCTCCCTTCTTGTTCTCCAAACAGTGTACTGCCCTAGGGGTTCTTAACGCATTCTTAAGATTTCTCAAGTGTCTGCCTTGGTCTTGCCTCTTTTTGTCTCCCAGTGTCTCCCTTCTTGTTTCCTTTTTGTTGGTTGGTGTGTCCACCTTCCCGAGGTCTTGTCTCCCCTTCCCACCCATTGTCTCCCATTGTCTCCCCACATGTGTGCCTGTGCTGGATCATGTGTCCACCTTCCCGAGGTCTTGTCTCCCCTTCTCTCCCATTGTCTCCCATTGTCTCCCCACACGTGTGCCTGTGTTGGATGGTGCGTCCGCCTTTTCGACGTCTTGTCTCGACTTGTCTCGCCTTTTTGTCTCCCATTGTCTCCCCGCATGGGTGCCTGTGTTGGACGGGGTCTTGTCTTGCTTGCCTGCGTTGGACGGTGTGTCCGCCTTCCCGAGGAAAGACAAGGGGATACAAGGGGAGACAAGTGGAGACAAGACCCTCGGGAAGGCGGACACACAATCGAAACAGGGAAACAAGAAGGGAGACAAGGGGAGACAAGGGGAGACAAGGGGAGACAAGGGGAGACAAGGGGAGACAAGGGGAGACAAGAGGAGACAAGGGGAGACAAGGGGAGACAAGGGGAGACAAAAGGAAACAAAAGGAAACAAGGGGAGACAAGACCCCCGGGAAGGCGGACACACCATCCAACAAAAGGGAAACAAGAAGGGAGACAAGGGGAGACAAGGGGAGACAAGACCCTCGGGAAGGCGGACACACCATCCAACACCAAGGCGGACACCTTAAGAAAGCATTAAGAACCCCTAACCTAACAGTACACTGTTTGGGGAAAATTGTACGTAGTGTAGTGCAATGTAATGTCGGTTAGTGTAGTTTAATTAATGTAATTTGGCGTAATAGGTGTAACAATGTAATGTTGTGTGTAGTAGTAGTAGTAGTTGTTGTAGTAGTAGTAGTAGTAGTTGTAGTTGTAGTTGTAGTAGTAGTAGTAGTAGTAGTAGTAGTAGTAGTAGTAGTAGTAGTAGTAGTAGTAGTACCAGTAGTAGTACCAGTTGTAGTAGAAGTACTAGTATTAGCATCAGTACTAGTACTAGTATTAGAATCAGTACTAGTACTAGTATTAGTATCTGTACTAGTAGTAGTAGTAGTAGTAGTAGTAGTAGCAGTAGCAGTAGCAGTAGCAGCAGTAGCAGCAGTAGCAGCAGTAGCAGCAGTAGCAGCAGTAGCAGCAGTAGCAGTAGCAGTAGCAGTAGCAGTAGGAGGAGGAGTAGTAGGAGTAGTAGTAGCAGTAGTAGTAGTAGTAGTAATAGTAGTAGTAGAAGAAGAAGTAGTAGTAATGGTGGTGGTGGTGGTAGTGGTGGTGGTAGTGGTAGTGGTAGTTTTAGAGGTAGTCGTGGTAGTGATGAGAACGTGCGCATTCCGTGGTGGCGTTTTGCGAGGTAGCAAATTTTCAGGTTCATGAGAAAACTTCTCGGAAAATGTCCATTTTGAAGCTACGAAGTGTTAAAAGTTGAGGATGTCTCGCACAAAATGCGCGTTTTGAAGCTCCAACATGTCTCGTGTCGTTTCTTTAGGTATCACAGCTGGTTGTAATGCCGTTTTACAGGCCAGCGTGGCACTTCCTGACATTCTCACGTATCTGCAAACGTGTCGAAAATCGTTTTCTGTGGCAGATGCAATGCTTTGGCGTCGTTGTCCAAAGATGAATTGCATGTTTCGTCGCAGGCAAAGCACTTTGGAGACTTCCATCTTCATTGTGCCTGGCAGGCGCAACATTTGGCGAAGATCCGTCCTGTCTGGAATCCTTTTTTGCGTCGCAGGTGCCGTATTTCGAATGCTTTATATTCTACACTTTACATTCTTGGGCACTTCAACTACCTGTGGGTCCGTCAGTGGATTCGCTTTGTCATCCGTGACTCAACATTCCCACCACCACCATACTTCTACCACCTATACTACCAGTACTATCAAAACCACCAAGACCAGCACTACTACCACTACCACTACCAGTAGCACTACCATTACCAGTGCCACAACCACAACTACCACTCCAACCTACCATTACCACTGCCATTACCACAACTTCCACTACCATTACTAACACCTGCCACTGCCACTATACCACGACCAATATCATTGCCACTCCCACTACCATTACCATTACCAGCCCTGACAATGCAGTGTGCCAAAGGACACCACCACTCAGGGAGACACATGAAGGGAGACAAGGCACAGACAAGACCGGAGAGGCGGACACCACCACTCAGGGAGACACATGAATGGAGACAAGGCACAGACAAGACCGCAGAGGCGGACACCACCACTCAGGGAGACACATGAAGGGAGACAAATGAAGGGAGACAAGGCACAGACAAGACCGAAGAGGCGGACACCACCACTCAGGGAGACACTTGATGGGAGACAAATGAAGGGAGACAAGGCACAGACAAGACCGGAGAGGCGGACACCACCAATCAGGGAGACACATGAAGGAAGACAAGGCACAGACAAGACCGGAGAGGCGGACACCACCACTCAGGGAGACACATGAATGAAGGGAAACAAATGAAGGGAGACAAATGCAGGGAGACAAGGCACAGACAAGACCGAAGAGGCGGACACCACCACTCATGGAGACACATGAAGGGAGACAAATGAAGGGAGACAAGGCACAGACAAGACCGCAGAGGCGGACACCACCACTCAGGGAGACACATGAAGGGAGACAAGGCACAGACAAGACCGGAGAGGCGGACACCACCACTCAGGGAGACACATGAAGGGAGACAAATGAAGGGAGACAAGGCACAGACAAGACTGGAGAGGCGGACACCACCACCCAGGGAGACAAATGAAGGGAGACAAATGAAGGGAGACAAGGCACAGACAAGACCGGAGAGGCGGACACCACCACTCAGGGAGACATATGAAGGGAGAGAAATGAAGGCAGACAAGACCGGAGAGGCGGACACCACCACTCAGGGAGAGACATGAAGAGAGACAAATTAAGGGAGACAAGGCGCAGACAAGACTGGAGAGGCGGACACTACCACTCAGGGAGCGGACACCACCACTCAGGGAGACACATGAAGGGAGACAAGCCACAGACAAGACCGGCGAGGCGGACACCACCGAGCACTCAGAGAGATACATAAAGGGACACAAATCAAGGGAGTCAAGGCACAGACAAGACTGGCGAGGCGGACGCCCCACTCATGGAGACACATGAAGGGAGACAAATGAAGGGAGACAAGGCACAGACAAGACTGGAGAGGCGGACACCACCACTCAGGGAGACACATGAAGGGAGACAAATGAAGGGAGACAAGGCACAGACAAGACCGGAGAGGCGGACACCACCACTCAGGGAGACACATGAATGAAGGGAAACAAATGAAGGGAGACAAGGCACAGACAAGACCGGAGAGGCGGACACCACCACTCAGGGAGACACATGAAGGGAGACAAGGCACGGACAAGACCGGAGAGGCGGACACCACCACTCAGGGAGACACATGAAGGGAGACAAATGAAGGGAGACAAGGCACAGACAAGATTGGAGAGGCGAACACCACCACCCAGGGAGACAAATGAAGGGAGACAAATGAAGGGAGACAAGGCACAGACAAGACCGGAGAGGCGGACACCACCACCCAGAGACAAATGAAGGGAGACAAATGAAGGGAGACAAGGCACAGACAAGACCGAAGAGGCGGACACCACCACTCAGGGAGACACATGAAGGGAGACAAATGAAGGGAGACAAGGCACAGACAAGACCGGAGAGGCGGACACCACCACTCAGGGAGAGACATGAAGAGAGACAAATTAAGGGAGACAAGGCACAGACAAGACTGGAGAGGCGGACACCACCACTCAGGGAGCGGACACCACCACTCAGGGAGACACATGAAGGGAGACAAGGCACAGACAAGACCGGAGAGGCGGACACCACCACTCAGGGAGATACATAAAGGGACACAAATCAAGGGAGACAAGGCACAGACAAGACCGGAGAGGCGGACACACCACCACTCAGGGAGACAAATGAAGGGAGACAAATGAAGGGAAACAAGGCACAGACAAGACTGGAGAGGCGGACACCACCACTCAGGGAGACACATGAAGGGAGACAAGGCACAGACAAGACCGGCGAGGCGGACACCACCACTCAGGGAGACACGTGAAGGGAGACAAATGAAGGGAGACAAGGCACAGACAAGACCGGAGAGGCGGACACCACCACTCAGGGAGACACATGAATGAAGGGAAACAAATTAAGGGAGACAAGGCACAGACAAGACCGAAGAGGCGGACACCACCACTCAGGGAGACACATGAAGGGACACAAATCAAGGGAGACAAGGCACAGACAAGACCGGAGAGGCGGACACACCACCACTCAGGGAGACAAATGAAGGGAGACAAATGAAGGGAAACAAGGCACAGACAAGACTGGAGAGGCGGACACCACCACTCAGGGAGACACATGAAGGGAGACAAGGCACAGACAAGACCGGCGAGGCGGACAAGGCACAGACAAGACCGGAGAGGCAGACACCACCAGTCACAAAGAGGCGGACACATCTTAAGAAAGAATTGAGAACCCTTAACAGTAAACTGCTTGGGGAAAAAAGATACCACTAAAACGGGGCACTCCACGGCCCGTAACCTCAGGTCGTTGAGCGCACCAACCAAAGAACGTCCTGACCAGGACAAACTATTGCTGATAGCACATGCTCCCCCGCTCTCCGAAGCATCTAAACAGGACAACTGACCATCATACTCGCTGGTCAGGTCTTGCTGCAGTACTGGCCCTAAACACATAAGCATCCATAACTCCCTGTGCAGTATTGCTACATGTTTAGAGGAGGGCCAAGCCATTTCAACGACCTCCCAAGACCTTGCCAAAACACTCATAGCTGCTCTCCGATATTGTAAAATGAGCTTCCTTTTTGCTCCGGCTTCCCCGCATGATAAAATGTAAAGTTGCATACATTGTCTTCAACAGTCGCTCGGGCGAGCTACCCAGCAACTTCTGGGTCCCATCCACACGGACTCCAAGCTCTGTCACAGTAGGGTTTCCCAAGACTTGCTTATCTTCTGCGGTCAATACACCAGCATTATCCCAGGCATGCATGGCTAACCCCGGCAACACTTGGTCTGCTCCAGCCCCACCCAGTGCCTTGTCATGTCCTTGAATTGAGCTACAAGGAAGTTGTCAAGATAGATCTGCCACCATGTCCTGCTTGGTGACGATGCTGCTGCTACCTGAGTGAACCATTGAAGCAGGACGCTACCCTTCTTCAACTCTGAGTTCTCAGGAAGTCCCTGTGATAATAAAAGCTCCCTAGACACAGCTTGCATGATGCCAACTGACGAAGACCAACTCATAGGTAAGACAATACAGGTGGGGCGATACCAAGAAGGGTCCAGCTTAGAGTCACCTATAACCGCGCCTGTTGCCTGAAAATTGAAACACATGAAGGGCCGCCATGTAGGAGGGATAGAAAATAGGTAAAAAGCCGAACTCATGCCCCCTTGCGATAAATTCACTTCCTCACCACCAGAGAAGCAGAGCGGAAGCCACTGAGTTGCGTTGGGTAAGCAATTGATGTCACCCCGCAACACTTCAAATAGTCCATTGACTGGTACCAGGTTCATAAAAATTCTCAGAACAGGGATGTGGTTTTCCGTATGTTTACCAGGTTTAACTACCCCAAACAAACCAGAAAGATACGTTCCTCTTCCATCGCTGTATGCTGAATCTGCAGGAACCCAGTCAATGATGCCACGATCTTTCAACAATCCAAAAACTTCCATTTCACAACCCCTCTTAATATGGACCTTTGCAGTGGCCCCGCGACTCAACCGGCAACAGTGATTCATCGGGGTTCTCCATGCGAAACGTCGTGCGCCCCCACAAGAATGGAGTAATAGGAATGGAACCCCCATGGCCCTTAGGGGGCAGCCCCCGGATAATTTGTTCTCCAGTCAATTGACGCGGTTGTTGAATTTCTTCCCCCGTATAGGAAACTTTCCTACTTAATGTCTTCTACCATGTACTCAAACGAAAAGCTAACAGGAGACTCTCCTGCGAGAAATCTGTTTATCTTGGACTTCATCTCAGCCAGGGCCGCCGTACGCACTTTTCCGGGCCTCCTAGTCCGTCCCTCTTGTGGGGGGCCGTACAACGCATTCAAAGCTGTGCAACCCAGTCCTACCCAGCAGTCCTCAGCTAGCGACTTATCGTTGCACGGATCCAATCCAGCAGCGCGCAGCTGATCTTCAGCGGGTAACTCAGCTGGCAGGGGAAACAAACCGCTTCGCTTAAAGGCGGCGGTTCGTGGAGGTTCAGCACGGGCACCTTTTAAACTAAAGTGTCCAGCTCGCAGTCCCCATGCCAGCAACTTGCCAAATTGTACCAAAGTATCACGTCTGGAAAGCTGCTGAATGCAGTCAAGCCGTGAACCGGGTGCCACACTGCCTTGCAGGGCACCTGAGGGGCTCCCAGCGACCACTTGGGTCGAGCCCGGGATCTTGGAGCCAGCTACATCAAGGGCAGCAAGGGGCTCCGCCTCAAAAGCTGAATTCGCTGTATCCAACACAGACGGGGTCTCCCCATGGTTGTCAACCTCTGAAACCGGGAGACTCCCCGAGCCTTGTCCATGCAACTGTACGCTACCCATACCGCAGGATGGCTGCACGGAAGTGGGACTTTGCAAAGGCCCAACTTCCAGCGCCTCTACGTCTCTCCTTCGCCCTTTTCTTGGGCTTCTCCCCCGTCTTGTCTCTTCCTTCGCTTTGCCAAGCGCCCTAATTGCTTTTCCTCCTTTTGATTTGCCTTTTCCTTTCTTTGTCTTGCCCTTTGCATCCTTGGTTTTGCCCCTTGCCTTTTGTCTCCTGCGCCCTATCGCTTGAGCCCCAGCCGCCGGAGCGGGGCCAACTGCCCTTGCCGCCTGCCTTTTCGACTTGACGGGCATGTCTTTGAGCCGCTAATAAGACGTGGGATGGTGCTACCCCTTCGTCTTCTTCGCAGCATACCTCCAGGTGCTTTGCCGTGTTCCAGCCCTGGCGGCCTGCTGTATCGACCGCCATCAGACGCCCGGCCAAAACATCGGCCAGCTCTGTCAGGCGGCCCTCCCTCAGCAGATCCAACGACCGTGTTACTGCTAATTCCCTGCAGCCTCGGCTCCTCACATCATCGACATGGGGCTTCAAGCACAGCTGGAAATACGTCAGCAACTTGGGGCGCATGAGGCCCGCTGACTCGTAGCCTTCTTCCACAACACCATCTGAAAGGCGCTCCACTGCGCTTTCTTCCAGCATCTGGAAGAGCGACCCCGGGGCCTTCAGGCCTCGCCGCTTGAGCGGGGCCACCAGGGATTCGTCGCTCGAGGAAGCTCGACGGCTCGACTGACTGTCGCTGTCCGAGCCAGAGCTCCCTTCCGCTTTCGCTTGCGCCTCCTGGATCGCGATATCGAACTGCTCTTCTTGCGTGGCTTCCTCTGATCCACGGCATTGCGCAACTGAGCTGCTCGAGCCAGAGTATCGCTCAATTTCGAGGCTTTCTTCTTTTTCTTCTTGTCCTCCTTCTCGGACTCGCTTGGGATAACCTCCACCTCCTTCTTGACAATCGCCAGCTGGTTTGCCTCCTGTGAGGCAGAGCTTCGATGCCGGCCACCAGTGCCATCCTTGGCACCCCTGGGGTCTTCGGCCGCCCGTCGTGTAGACAGCGGCCCCGGCCCATCGGCAAAGGAAACTCTGTGCTCCCCGCGATTCTTGCGTAGCGCCCCTAGCCGCTTCTCCGCGGTAGAGGGGCCTGTCCCAGGTCGAGAAGGTGGAGGCTCGCGAAGCTCTTCTGCTCCATTTCGGGGCCTTTTGCCACTTCTTTTGCAGCTCGACTGCTCACGTAGGCCCCTGGAAAATCGCCAGGGGGGAACACTTGAATTTCCTCAGGTGGAAGGCGTCTGTATCTCCTTCTCCATCCATGAAGCTGCAAAGGTGTAGCCTTCGCCTTCCTCATTTGAAATACTTTGTAGCCTCCTTTTTCTCCTCTTCTGTGGCGGCCCCCAAAACCTTGACTTTCACCCAGATTCCAATGCTTTGCGACTCGGTTGAAACAACCAGCGCAGCAATGATAGCCGGAGTTTCCATGCCTTTTGGATAGGGGTTCTGAACCTCTACAACTGAACCCGCTGGCAGATGTCTGTGGGTCCAAAACACCGCTTCCTCTAGATTTTATTCTGTTGGGCTTGAAGGTTTGGGCTGCTTGGCTAAGGCCCGACGGATAGCTAAGGGCGAAGCTGGGGGCTCTCCAAAAGGGCTTGGCGACTTTGAGGATACATCTTCTGCCTCTTCCCTCCGGAGGGTGAGCCATGGCCGCAACGGCAAATTGCCAGCGGCTCCGTCTTATGCTCTCCTCTCCAGCCCTGACCTAAGGTCAGGAGCAAACTCCAACCTCGACTTGCCCAGCTTCCTGTGGCTGGTCCTCAAAGGATCCTCCCTTTCACGGTAATGCCTTTGGTGCTTGCTTCCTCCCCTGCGCTTGCGTTTCTTTCCTTTCCCACGGGATGCTCCCCTCAGAGGGTGCCTCGGCTCTGGAAGTTTCTCTGGCCGGCGCCGCTCGAGAGCAGGTGCCTCTTTGACCTCGGGTCTCGCCTCAATCTCTTCCTCACATGCCTCTTCTTTTTCCGACCCCTCTGCATAGCTGTACTCCTCCGGAGGGCGCCTGTCTTCTTCCCTTGCACGAGGTCGCTCCCGGCTGGGCGCAGCCCTCAGCAAAGGGGGGCGACGGTCCTCTGGTTCACGTCGGGGGCTCCTGGTCTGCGGTCGCTCCGCCTTGGATTTAGCGGACGTCAAGAGGGAACGTCCCCCAACGTCACGCCCAGACAGCGACGAGTCCAGTTGTGAGAGCCCCATGATGAACCTGGCTGCAGACAGCGCGGCTTCTTCTGCCACGGCACGCACCCCTTGGTTCAACCACTTCTTACGAAAGAGGTTTTGTGCAACCTCAAGGGATGAACAGCCTAGGCAATGGTCCCTGCCTTAGACCCCCCCCATGCCAGCATACCTTGGAATAATTGGATATTATTCCAGCCCCATTGCGCATGTTCTGGGAAAACATTCCAGTATGTCACACGACATCGGGAATAATTAGGGTAAATTTAGGGCAACCCCCCCCTCTCCATTCATATAAAAATACAAGTTGTAATCAAATCTGGTATATTTTTGGGATGTGTTGATTGAGGTTGTATTGCCACAAACCACTAGAAACCTAGTGTCAGAAAACCTTTTCAAATAAACTCAAAAGTTTATTGGGATCTTGCAAGTTTTGCTCGTTCCTGGTTTCAAAGATGTGCTCCGGCAATGCTCAACCTATCTCAACCTGTGAAGAATTCCTAGGTGTTTCCTGGTGATGCCCAATTTCCCCTGGGTGGTTGAGAGTGGAGAGACAGTGTAACAGTCCAGAGGTGAGCTCTGGCGGTACTGTCGGAAGCTCATCTGGGAGAGGATGGTATCCTGCAGTGTCCTTGGGATCAATGGGTCCCTTACCACGTGCCGCATGAGTTTTGGCTGCTACGTAGGCTTGTTGAATCAGCGCTCCATGCTATGTCGCCATGATGTGCAGGTATCTATAAGCCCGTATGGCGGCTTTTCTCGTGCTTGGACCGTCGTCGGCTTGATTTTTGTTGGCACGGGCCAGAATGTTCCTCGCTTCTTCTTCCCTTGCTTTAGCGGAAGGCATATGGGTAACTTATGGTAATTTAGCCAAAGACCAATGGACCCACTGAGTGAACATTGGTGACCCAATGAATGGTTTGAAGAATCCCTGGGTTTTTTCTGGATTTTCCTGTTGATGCCTAATTGTTCCTGGGTGTTCTGACATATGTGGGTGACCTGTGGTTAAAATATGGGTACTTTAGCCAAAGACCAATGGGCCCACTGAATGAACATTGGTGACCCAATGCATGGTTTGAAGAATTCCTAGGTGTTTCCTGGTGATGCCGAATTTCCCTTGGGTGGTTTGACATATGTGGGTGACCTGTGGAAGACATATGGGTAACTTATGGTAACTTAGCCAAAGACCAATGGACGCACTGAGTGAACATTGGTGACCCAATGAATGGTTTGAAGAATCCGTGGGTGTTTCCTGGTGGTGCCTCATTATTCCTAGGTGTTCTGACATATGTGGGTGACCTGTGGGAAACATACGGGGATGTCTCAAAATAGGGGTGCCCACATGAGTGCCCCAAACTTTTTTTTCTGAAAAAAGAAAGTTTGGGGCACTCCATTTTGGAGACATTCCCATATGGGTGACTTATGGTAACTTAGCCAAAGGCCAATGGACCCACTGAATCCCACTGAGTGAACATTGGTGACCCAATGAATGGTTTGAAGAATCCCTGGGTTTTTTCTGGATTTTCCTGTTGATGCCTAATTATTCCTGGGTGTTCTGACATATGTGGGTGACCTGTGGTTAAAATATGGGTACTTTAGCCAAAGACCAATGGGCCCACTGAATGAACATTGGTGACCCAATGCATGGTTTGAAGAATTCCTAGGTGTTTCCTGGTGATGACGAATTTCCCTTGGGTGGTTTGACATATGTGGGTGACCTGTGGAAGACATATGGGTAACTTATGGTAACTTAGCCAAAGACCAATGGACGCACTGAGTGAACATTGGTGACCCAATGAATGGTTTGAAGAATCCCTGGGTGTTTCCTGGTGGTGCCTAATTATTCCTAGGTGTTCTGACATATGTGGGTGACCTGTGGGAAACATATGGGGATGTCTCAAAATAGGGGTGCCCACATGAGTGCCCCAAACTTTTTTTCTGAAAAAAGAAAGTTTGGGGCACCCCATTTTGGAGACATTCCCATATGGGTGACTTATGGTAACTTAGCCAAAGGCCAATGGACCCACTGAATCCCACTGAGTGAACATTGGTGACCCAATGAATGGTTTGAAGAATCCCTGGGTTTTTTTCTGGATTTTCCTGTTGATGCCTAATTATTCCTGGGTGTTCTGACATATGTGGGTGACCTGTGGTTAAAATATGGGTACTTTAGCCAAAGACCAATGGGCCCACTGAATGAACATTGGTGACCCAATGCATGGTTTGAAGAATTTTTAGGTGTTTCCTGGTGATGCCCAATTTTCCCTGGGTGGTTTGACATATGTGGGTGACCTGTGGAAGACATATGGGCAACTTTTGGCCCCTGAGTGAACATTGGTGACCCAATGCATGGTTTGAAGAATCCCTGGGTGTTTCCTGGTGATGCCCAATTATTCCTGGGTGTTTTGACATATGTGGGTGACCTGTGGAATAAATATGACAAATGAGTCAAGATAAATAATTTCATTGGGACCCCTGTGCTTTTCTATCTGGCATATCGTCTGACATCTTCTGACATTCTATCTGGCATATCTTCTGATATCTTCTGACATTCTTTCTGGCACTCTATCTGGCATATCTTCTGACATTCTATCTGGCATATCTTCTGACATTCTATATCATTCTATCTGGCATATCTTCTGATATTCTTTCTGGCACTCTATCTGGCATATCTTCTGACATTCTATCTGGCATATCTTCTGACATTCTTTCTGGCATATCTTCTGACATTCTTTCTGGCACTCTATCTGGCATATCTTCTGACATTCTATCTGGCATATCTTCTGACATTCTATCTGGCTTATCTTCTGATATCTTTTTACATTCTTTCTGGCACTCTACCACGGGCGATGAAATAGCGCATAACAGATCATAACAGCACATGTATGCACATGTCATCACCGCTCATCTGTTGTCATATATTGTCATCTATTTTTCAAATAATGGTTCAAATTTTATCATAACTTATCATCCGAGTTTATATGCCCATCAATAGCTAATTATTCTGAGGTATGTTGACACAAATTATTCTATACAACATCTGACATAGAATAGTCCCCCTTAGCAGAATAATTAAAAATAGGCCCTAAAACTATTTATTCCAAATCAATTATTCCTGATGTGACATGCCCCCCTGGAATAATTATTTAAGGTAGGGGCCATCCTAGGCACCAGCTGCCTCCGTCACACCCACGGCTCCCCTTACACTTATTACAGGGAGCGTGGTGCATACCACAACCCCCAATTTTGAGCCTAAAGCACACACATCACAAAGACAAGAAACTTTGTCCTAATTGTCGCCCCGACTGCTAAGTAATACAGAATATAATATAATATACCTTCAACTTCCATAGCCTTCTCTTTTTAGGATTTCCCAAAAAAACGCTTCTCTGCCAAAAACCAAGTTTTCCAGACTACAAGATTTTCCTGCTTGAACATGATTGAACCTTGTCTGTATAGAGCTGTAAGGAAGGAACCAAATGCGGGCGCTAACGCAACTCACCCCTAAAACTTGCGCTGAAGGCAATGGTGATACCAGTAGCAAACCACAGCAACATGATGACACCGACCACAACACCCATGATGGCCATCAAAGACTTTGAATGACCTTGATTCAAAATATACTATTTAATATAATATACAACATATAATATGTATATCACTGTATATCATTCAATTTTCAGGATGATGTGTTCCAATCCACAACATATCGATTTTGTTGCCGCCTTGACACATTTTGTGGTCTAATGTGGTCTAATGTGGTCTATTCAATCCTTTCAGCTGCCACAAGCTGCCAAGAGTCATTGTCGATAGGCAACATGAAAACGATGGGTTGGTTTAGACCACTGATTCTAAGCCTGCGAGGCAATCCCGAGGCAATCCATGGGCCCCTGTGGATTTCGGGAACCGAAGTGATCACCACCGAATCCGAATCAACCGGTGCCGGTCAGTGCTGCACCTGTAAAATATCAGAAAAAAACTATCACCAAAGTCCTCCGATTTGTACAAGTAGATACAAGTAGCATAATTATGCATAATTAATATATTTTCACCAATCAAAACGCATCACTTCCTTGTGACCCACCACAATTACCCACCACTCTTCTCGGTTCCTCCGCCCTCCGCTGAAATGGATAGAGATGGATTCTGATTGTGTGACGTTCCCGAGTCTCCGTAGCGCTTGATTTGCTTGTTGATCTTGTTGGTGTTGGTCCATTGTGGAAACAAATTCCTCTGACTCTCATGTGAAATATGAGACCAGCTTCTCAAACAAACAGGGGCCGTCAAAAGCTGTTGTTTTATGAACATGAACATGGAGGTAAATTGATTCAGTCTTGATGATTTTGGTCGCCTACCAACTCCGCGGTTACATTTTGACAAGAAACTCCTCACCCTCTGCAGTCCGCAGCTTCATATTGATCCTCCGTGCAGTGGCGCATGAAAACTGTCCAAACCCATCCAGCCAAATTGGATGACTGATGATGACTGCATAGGATATGACCCTGCTGACCCAAGTCTGAGACCAAAGAAGCCCTGCATGCAAAGCATCAATCTGGATTAGATATATTAGATCTTTCAAAGAAGATACTGACAGGCTTGAGGCCTGCTAACTTCTATAGTCTTGGAGCGTCTGCCAGTCTGCCGTATCTTATCGATAGTTTTCTTCCAACAAGTACGGTCGAACATGAATACAAACTATGTAATACCAAATACTCTCGCTATAGTGAGTTTACAATACGTCCATCATCACATTATAAAATAATGCTGCCGAAATAACTAACTCAAACAAACTTTTAATGGTCAAGCTTTGCTGGCTGCCAAGCATCGGAAGCGTCTTCAGGCTCGAAGCCAGTCTTCGGCCCTGTGCATCAAGCATAGGGAAACGGACCATGGTGGCGGTTGTCACCGTCACTACAAGAACGATGACAACCCTGATCCCAGAGATGATTGCAGGCATTTGCGGACAATCTTTTAACCACTGCAGCCTTCAACACCGAATATACCTGAACTACAACCGCTACAATATAAACCATCCAAATTTTCTCACATGCATTTTTGAGCCTCCGGTTCTGGTATGTTCTGGTTGCATTCACTCAGTCAAGCTCATTAACGTCCTTCAACATCTACCTTTTACACCTTTTATCTCCGCCACATCCGATACATTCCGCTACTGCGTATTTAAAGTCTCCCGGCATTTCTCCTGCGCAGTGATCCTGGCATTATCACTGCGGAGCTTGTCTGCCACGTCGTTCGACAGCTCTGTGATGGTGATCAAAATCATCGACGTCTCCGATCCGTTCGTGGCACCCGTGGCACCAGCCAATTGAGAAGCCAACCTCAGGAGGTTGTCACAGTTGTCACATTTGTGACAGTCAATGTTCTCACACATTCTACGCGTTAGTGCGCGTCCAGTGCGCGTTTTACACCATGTTGCAACAACTGTGTTGCACCATGTTTCCAGCTGGAGCTGGATTAACCAAACATTTGCGCTGCCAGTTGTGTGTGTATGTGCAGGTTTCATCTTATGCAAGTACTCGATAGATCTTGATGGTTCTTACACATACATCAGCTCCAAAGACAAAGGATGACCCACCCACACATTGACATCATTGATTACACACAATTCTCAATGATCTGATGGGACCCATCGGCTTTGTCACATCGAGCGAAAGAATGCTTCCAAATAGACCCAGACTTGGTCTTCAGGGTTGTCACGTCACCAAGTGGATTGGCGCAAAGGTGGCAACATTACTATATATGCAAAAGCTCAGTCTGCTTCATAGCATGTCATGGCTATTCAGGAAATCGCTCATCCCTTTAAAAGTCTTCAGAGTCTGAGTCCCATTCAAAACCGCCTACGGCCTACGGCCTCTGTCTCATGGATTCTCATGGTAGTTCGAAGTTGAAACCTCGGCTTTGCGACATCCAAGTTTCAACCCAGCGGCTGGACCACTTCTGCGGGCACTTCGGCGTGGACCGCTCCTGTTATAGGGGTCAGAGATGAAAGCTGGCTTCAAACGAAATCCAAAAACATAGAGCTTTCCGAAGGAGTGACCTCTCAGTGTTAAGTTACGTATGGGTGTCAAACTTTGAAGCTTTCCCAAGCAGTATGTGGCCTCTCAAGTGTTGATTCAAGTAATACGTAAAGTCAGTTCTTCGGTCCAAGCGGGAAAGATCTTCAAAACCGTGATGACTGCAAACAATCTTGGCAGTTTGCCACTGTCACCCATCTAAAAGATTGAGCCCAAAGCATTCTGCCCTCTGCCCCAGCGCCCAGAAATAACATGAAATAACCCGAACCCGGAGCCAGAGCCACAAGGCCTTGGTCTCCAACGACCGTAACATTTTCTCCAGATTCCACCACAGCCTGGCCAAGTCCAAACTCTGAGATGTGAAGACCTTTTTGCAACTGACATTCTCTCACAGAGTCGATCCCTGTCAACATCCACACCGTCACGCAAGCCTGACCTGTGGATGGTCTGTTTCTGTCTGTTTCGTCCGTTTTTCGCATTTCGTCCATGCCTCAGGGGAGACTGCCACCATCTTCATCACACCGCCGCCTGTCTCCTTGGATCCTTGGCCCAAGACTCCGGCTCCAGCAGCTCCAGTGCTGGGTTCGTCCAGCAGAATTTCTGTCAGCAACTGCGTCACTGCTGCGGTCTCTGCAGTTTCCAGCTCCTGCACGATGCAGTCCACCGAAGTTAACCCCACTGCGTCAGTCTCGTTTCGACATGAAACTAAAAAGCTGCTCCAACTTCTTGGCTGGTTGTGAACGCAGCACGAATAGTTATAGTTATAGTTTCATTTTTCATGTCCACAAACCTACTGACCCTTATATAAACAAAAATCACCCCAGCGGGTTTCAGTTGTAATCGTGCCCCTTAGGGATCTCATGAATATTTATTGCCGTTTCCAACACCCAGTCCTGGACTACTTGTGTCGCTTCGGCCTTGCGTTCCTCCTCCATGGCCTCAAATTCTTCCTCGGTGATCACAACTCGAGCTCGGGATTCCTCTGTGGTTGACGCGGTGCTGAATGAAGATGAGGATATGACAGCATCTTCCAAGGGTGTTTGGGGTAGCAAGTCATTGGTGGTTGGAGTGACTGTGTTGGAGGTAGTGGAAGTCAGAGCTTGAAGGGAGCTTGTGGAAGTGAAGAACGTGGAAGAGGATGTGAATGTAAACGTCTGAGTGTTGCCGCTTGTCGGGCTGGTTGCGGTGCTGGATGTGCTTGTACTGCTCAACAAGCTGGCAGTGCTTGTACCGCTCAACGAGCTGGCAGTGCTTGTACTGCTTGATGAGCTGGCAGTGGTTGTACTGCTTGATGAGCTGGCAGTGCTTGTAGCACTGCTCGTACTCGAAGTGGTGCTGGACACGACATCAGCAGTGTGTGTTGCTGTAGCACTACTGGCCGTGCTGGATGTGCTAGTCACTCCTGGCTGGGTTGTTTGGGTCGCTGTACTCAAGGTGGATGTAGTGCTGGCTGTACTCGTCGTGCTGAGGCTGCTCGATGTGTCACTCCGCGTAGTGCTGCTGGATGACGTTCTTGTGGCTGTCTCGGTAATTGTGGACACCGTGGTTGTATAGCTGGTGGAAATAGACGCTGTGGTTGTGGCGGTGGTAGAGGTACTTGTAGGCCTTAAAGCATCGAGGTTTTAGGGTGTGCATCTGCCGTCAAGATGCAAAATCTCTTTCAACAGCTGCGATTTGCGAAGCGATAAATACCTTGATCAAAGGATTTCAAGATAATTTGATATAATTTGCAGCATTGTCCATTTTTCCCCATGGCACGCTGACATGAGACAATTTTAGGGTGAACGAGACAATCCACCGCATTGACCAAGTACCTGTGGTATATTAGTATGAACAATAATAAGTGATCATAATAACATAGATAATCTAAAATAATCTGAAATGCCAGCGCTTGCAAAGCAACACTTTGCTTTCATACACAATCATGTACCCAAACGTTGCAATGACACAAGCCAGATAGACGCAAGCTGGCCACAATCATATTTTTTTGCATCCTGTAAGGCATTAATCCCTGGCCCCTTCCACCAACTGAACAGGCATCGAGGCTCATGCCCAAATCCACGGCCAGAAGAGCGTCGCCCATTTCACCAGCGACAGTGCCACGATTGTTTATATCTCCTTCATTGATCATTGAGCTGTGCAGCATGTCTATTGTATGTCTACCGGTACCGTATGTCTGCCTCCGTCTCCGACTTGGGTTTGCGGTGACGAGGGGCATACGGGGAAGTCAAACACCTAGGACCTAGGCCTGACATGGCCTGATGGGCTCATCTCTCTTCAATCGATGTATATAAGTGCAGGATAGTGCAGGGACACAAATGCATCAAATGATTCAAATGCTCCCTAAAAGCCAAAGCCAATCAAGTGCTTGAACTTTTCAGCTTGTCACTGTACCATGCCCGCGTGTCCTTGGCCAAGTTGGCCAAAGGAGTTTGCACCCCAGCATTTGATGGAGTGGTCTTCATTCAGCAGCACACAAGTGACGTCAGCTACCGAGCACGAGACCTGCATGCCGATAGAAGCACTCTCGCAGGAAAATGATTGGAAGATGCAGCGATGTTTGTTCCATCAAACTATGCCATACAGCCTTGGAACTTGTCAAATTCTATGTATCCCGTCATTGCCCTTGAGATGGGACCAATTGGCAGGTTTACCAGTTACATTACGCGTGCGGAGTCTGCAGTTTCAGAATGAACTTGCTGGTCAGCTACAATAGCAGCTGGCTTCTGTGGATGTCAGGATTTGTTCAAAAGTGCAGATCCAGCGCAACTGGTGCAAATGATTGACCTATCTACAATCCATGAGGCATGCTTTGGGTGGCTAACATGTAAAGCAACACTAATCTACTAATTAGTGTGTCTATATCTGCTCTTGCTCATGGTTTCTCCCACCCTTCAAAAGAAACAAACTGAAATCTTGGGCCCCGACCGATTGAACTGTTAGCCCAGTACCCACATCCACCGCGGGCAAGTTCGTCATCTCCGCGCTGGAGCCACCGCCTCTGTCAGTTTGATCTCCCAATCCTTAAAACCAAGGCATGCCAGGCATGCCAGGGATGCCAGGGATGCCCGGTACTTGGGAAGGGGTCAAGGCAAATAATTAGACGTCCGCCTTCAGAACCCAAAACCACCTTAATCCACATTAAAAACATGAAAGAAAGGAAGTTTTTGAAGTCAAACTTTCGACTCATGAACAGAACAGATGCAGCAACAGTTGTGGGAAGAGTCAGGGAAGAGGAAGAGAAAGCAAGAAATAAGGTCAAAGCGCACGAAAAGGTAGAAAAATTGCGAGTCCGAAACACTGTGGTTTCCCTGATTTTTCGTTTGTGTGAAACGACGTACAAACAAAGGATCTGCTGAGACTACATCGCAAACTAATTCCCAACCATGCAAAACGAAACGTACAGCACATCACGGATGTGATGTAGAAGATGCCTCTGAATGACCTGCTAATGGCAAAGGTAGGATTCAGAGCAAGCCCATGGCATGGAACTGAAGAACAATTCCATACAATTCCCAATATCCAATTATATCCAATTATACACAAAAAAAAACATGCGCAATACAATGGGAAATCTGCCAAGCTTGATCCAGGCATCCCAGCTGGCCTTCAGCGTTTCCACCCCAGCACTTCAAGGACTGATCCAATAACACAGCGCAGGTATGACTTTCGCCAGCGGACATCTGTAGAACTGCTTGACCCAAGTTGATAGGACTCAAGAAATCGCCCATCTCAAGCGGATCAGCGCCAATATCATTCTGGTGACCTTGACCTGACCATATCACAGCAGTTCACTACTTGGGAAAATGCACCTTCATTGCAGACCACTTAAAAAAAATATCAAATGATTATGATCAAACGAATGATGCGCATGTCCTCAGGATAGCATTAATATAAATATATATATATATAATATATATATATATAGGATAACCTGATTCACCCCCGGCAGCGCTCACACCGCACCTAGCTGTCCTACATGGTTGTATCCCCAGCACTTGGCGGAGTCATCATCCAAGATTGCACACGCATGATACCTGCCAGCCGAAATCTGCTTGGCAGTTCGACCCACTCCCAGAGACACCGCCGGCAGTAAATCTCCTTGGTTGTCAGCTGAGTGCCTGATCCCATGAATGGATATGTTTGTTGGAACAAGCTTTTCACTTTTAGGACTCCAAAATACCTCGGTCGAACATCCACAACTTGCCTAACTCTGCAATCCATCTGCTCGCCCGCGGTTGCCTGAAACTTAATACAGCATACAGCATACAATGCATCTACAATCTACAAGCGTAATCCGTTGTCCAGTCCCTCAGCTTCCCAACAGTTCCCAACTACTTGCAGCCTATTGCGGCCTAGTTTCCCATCTGATTGACTGCTCCTCCCCAGGTGTTGTCGGTGATGCCCAACCCCAGCTGGCCTGGGCAACAGGCTGCAGCAACACAAAATTGGCCTGAAAGAAAGCGTTTGAACCTTCAACGATTTTGCCCACGGGGATGCACCGGGTATTTCGGATGCATGATAAAGGCATCTCACAAAACTGTAGCTGAGAATTGAATCTCCAGCATATTCGTTGATTTTTGACCCGCCATTCGCGGACTTAATTAATTACCTGTATATATCCTGTCGCAAAGGAATTGCTGAGTGGCCTTTTTTGTTGCGACCCCAGCATTTCACGCTGTCATTGTCCAGCAAAGCACATGTGAACTTGCCGCCCGTCACGACTTGTCGTGCAGTGCGCCCTGATCCCAGGTTGATCGGTGCCAAATTGTCTCCCATCTGCCCTGGGAGGTTACCGATGTCATCGGTGTTTTCTGTGCCTAACTGGCCTTGACCATTGCCTCCCCAGCACTTCACGGTACCATCGTCCAAGAGAGCGCATGTGTGTGAAAGACCCACTGCAACCTGTGTCGCAAAGCGACCAGTTCCCAGATCCACTGTCACTGCACTCGATGTTTCCACGACGTTGGAATGCCCGGCCCCACACTGGCCCCCATCATTCTTTCCCCAACACTTCAGAGCACCATCGCTAAGTAGAGCACACATGTGATTAGACACGGCCACATCATGAACAGTTACACCAAGATCAATGCTTGGGAGACTAGTTCCCATCTCTCCACTTTCATCTCCCCACTGCCCAGGAAGTTTCTGGTAGTCAGCATTGCCCCAACATTTCAAGGTGGTCGTCTCCAAGACTGCACAAACAGTCGCATTCCCAGCAGAAAGCTGCGACGCCCAGTATTCACTCCTTGCCATTGACCTTGCATTTGCCGCGAGGAATCTGACTGAAAGCACGGAACATCATGGAACCCACAACAAAACGACCAACCAAAAACAAACAAAAACACATCCTTATCACCCTGATATCACATCCTAGGCGCGTAAAGCAAACATGAACAAGAATGCCACATAGTTTCCAAGACATGGCAGGAGGGCAGCACTGTCAGCCAATACTCTCAGTATTACGCACCAAATTATTACCGTACCATAATGTACCATATGATTCCGAAATTTCATCTGTCTTTTGACAACCTGGTTTGCGGTCAAAAACATTGCATGCTATGTTAAACCTGTTAAACTAAACCTTCTTTCCTCTTTCTTTGTAGTCTGAGCCGAAAAACTGCAACAGGATCCTGCCATGCACTTCTCGCCATGATTTTGTTGTCCGCCCTGCCCCCCCCACTGCAACAGTCTAATTGTCTCTAATCAGAGGAGTCTTCAGAAGAGTATATATTCTGGCGCCCGCATTTTCTTCCTTCTCACAGGGTCTTTGAGTGACCTGTCACCTGGAAAAAAATCTGCCAGGAACTGATCCTGCGAAACTGCCAGGAACAAGGAGAGGCGTTGCAAGCCGCTACCTTCTGCTTGAATTTTCTTTGCAATTTGAAATGTTTGCAAGAAACCATCTGGGAAAGAAAAACAAAATAAAACTTGCCACCAGGATATACCAGGATAAACAGTTCCAAACGTGGTTCATCGTGGGTCGCTGTCCTGCGTGCAGAATCGATTGGCACTCATGTTCAAACAATCCATGCTTCAACATTTTCCAGAGGTTTCTTGCGTTCATTTTTTCACTGCATTTTCTTCCAGATTCTTGGCTGTCGGGTCCTGAGTTTGGCAGGTTGTTGTTCAGCAGGAAAAATGTTTCACGTAATACTTCGAGAACGAAACACATAACAGAATAAACGACAAGGGAAGAAAATCGCAGTGTCACGTCGGGTTCAACGTTAGCCTTGAAGAAAACATGCTTAACAGATGTGAAAAAACACTGGCTTTCGTTCTCATCTTCTCTCAGGGTTCGATAATGTACGGGAATTGACCCGAAAAAATGACAAGTAATTACCTGGGGAATTGACCAAAACATGGACAGACAATTGACAAAATTCTTACAAACTTTAAGTTTCACATTTGTGAAGGGTATAGGCTGGTGTGGTGAAGAGCAGCAGGAAGGGGTCCTGAAAAAAGCAAAAAAGAGTTGGGTTCGGAAGCCGCTAATCCCCAGACCCCCTATACTCTCACTACGTTCGCAATAGACACTTCAGCCACTGCCTCTGGCTAGGAATTGTCAATTTTCTACGGGATCGACCAAAAAGTTGACTATATAATGTCTAGGGACTTCACAAAAATTGTCAAATTTAAAGCTTCAAAATTTCATTTGTTTTCCTGGTTACGTCAATTTTTGTCAACAACCTAGAAAATTGACAAATTTTTAGGGAATTGACGAGAATTGACCCCCCCAAAAAAAAGACAAATTTCTAGGAAACTATCAAGAAAAAACAAACCCCAAGAAACTCACAGAAAGTTGACAAAAGATTAACACATTTCAAAGGAATTTGTCAAACAAATGACATCAAATGACCCAAAACAATTTACAATTTTGATGCTTCAATTTCGTCATGTTTGCTTATTTTGTGTAAATTTCCTAAATGTTTATCATTTTTGACAATTTCCTCGAAATCCGTTAGTTTTTTCTGGTTCCCTATTTTTTTATTGTCTGTCAATTCTTGCGAAATTTAACAATTTGTTGTCACTTTTCTCTCAATTCCCTAGAGAATTGCTCATTTTAGACAAAGTGATGAAGAATTGACAAATAATTGAAAAAATGCAAATAACCTATTTTTGAATCTCCACGCCGTGGCCGTGAAGAACTCATAACTGTCATAACCATAGCATTTTGCAGTGGGCGGCGGCCACAGATGGTCTTGCCATACCGAGAAAGTCTTAGCTTCCTTACCTGCCAAGCTTTTAAAGAACACACGTTCAAATGCCTTTAGGATGTCTTCGCATTCCAATCTGCTGAGATCGACCAATACAAACGGTGAGGGATGGCTTTGCCACGTTTCACAACCCTAAGTCCCCTTTCCTAATCAATTACTTTTAAGTTGATCACATTTTCCGTGTGGCTGTTTGTTTAATTTTATGTTAAATGTACAACTAATTAAATGTTCAATAAAACAGAAAATTACGCGCATGTTTTGAAAACAGTATATAATGAATGTTTTTGCGTCCCGGGAGAAAACAAGGGTCAAATCATCACATGTGGAAATGGCAAGCAGTTGTGCGTGGACTAACATCTGTCAACTGAACATGTGGTAATTTTGGTGCGGGTCAAGTTCCACCGGGAGTTGAAGGATTCCTTACCATGTTAGACTGTTTGGCCCACCATACTTCAGCAATCATATGGACAAAAAGAGGCGGCTTTTTATATGTGAGAATGATTGTGTTTTGGGGAAAGGCTCTGAGATGGTTTCCTTAACTTTGGGTTGGATTCCATTCCATCCAACACTGGAGGACACCTTGGTAGACCTAGAAAATTTATGCATCTTTCAGAGCCAATACCAGCAGAACAGGATGACTCTGCTAAGTTCGACAAGCATACTGCTGGGGTGTCCTGAAATGGTTTCGATACTGTTGGGGTGGGTCAAGTTCCAGCAGAAGTTGAGGGATACCATAATTATTAGATCCACCGCACTGCAACAATAATACAAACAAAGAGAAACCCGCTTAAATTATAAATTTGAGAATGGTTTATCCTTTCAAAGGTTCGGAGATAGTTCCTTAACTTTGGGTTTGATAATTTTATACCTACTCATTGGCCGTTCACTTCACCCATTGTGCCCCTCTCTTATCAGAGATTCCGAGCTAGGCCGTATTTGACCCAAACCTTTTCGGAATTAAATCAAAAAAACAAATGCATTCAAATCACCCGCGAATGCACGCACATTTCTGAGGCAGGATTCTGCAGCCACTTGTGGCACAACATGCAAAAGCCACTTTTTGTGTGCCTCAGGTGACAGCAAAAGAAGCAAACATGCATAAAATAAATTCGAAAAAACCGCG